GAGTTACACCTTCAAGAACACGTTGGCGCTTTTGCCACCTTTGGGGTTCATTGGGTTTCTGGGGGACAGGGGGTCACTTTATACAAGCTCACTGTGGATATGTAAGGGAATGTTTAGTGAATTCTATGTTAGTTGGGGAAATAAGGTAAAACGAGATTTGGAAAAAAAAGAAAGAAAGAAAGAAAGAAAGAAAGAAAGAAAGAAAGAAAGAAAGAAAGAAAGAAAGAAAGAAAGAAAGAAAGAAAGAAAGAAAGAAAGAAAAAATGAAGGGAATTGAGCCATCATTCCCGTAAACATAAAATGTGTGTTTATGGCCCTTTGGCCTGGCTTGTTCCAGGTCCAGTTTATTTTGAGTTCTCATAAGCAAAACACAAATACAACTGCCCTTGCCTTTGGAATCAGAAAGGCCTCAGAAAAGATCTGTATTGTCCCTAAAACGCAGTGAGGTGTGTGTGTGTGTGTGTGTGTGTGTGTGTGTATCCCCCCCCCCCCCCCGTTGAAACCAGATTTATTTTTTAAAGTATCTCACAAGACCAACATGTTTGCAAGGGAGTGCTCAGCCTCTCTCCTGCTCTTTGACTCTTTTCCAGGGGAAGGGGTGGGAGTGAAGGGAGAGAGACAGGGACATGGGCGCAAAATAAATGTTTGAACCCGGCTCTGTCTGTTAGTTGGAGGCAGATGTCATGAGCAGCACAGTGAGTACACCATCAGCTACGACGAAGACCATGGACATGGGATCACAAACATCCCCCCAAACCAGGCGGCCCCCTTGTGAAGGGGTCTCCAAACTAACCCCAGGAAGACAAATTGCAGCCCCCCCCCAGCCTAGGAAAAGGAGAAGTAGGAAGTAATTCCCTTGCCAGGATTCCTCCTGTGGGCACCCACCCTAGGGCTGTCCCCCCTCCCCCCCAGTCAGCATCATCTCAGCAGCTGGGGCCCTCTGAGTGCTCAGAAAATAATCCCTTTGGGGAGCAGCACACCAGAGGCCACACTAGTTCAGCCCTGGGGAGGGCTCACCAGGCTGACATTTAAGCCTGGAACTACACCCTCCTTTCCTTTTCCCCCTCTACTTTCCCCTCCATCACTGCCACTACCATCACTTTCATCACCACCACCTTGGAAGGCACAGGGCACCTAAACTGGGGGAGACAAAGATAGTACCTTTGCCTCGAAGCTTTCCAAAACAGCAAGCAAGCTAACCCAGCATCCCGCTGCGCCTGGAGCAAAATGTGCCAAAGAGAACACCAAGGGAGGAAACATGGCTGCCTCTGACTGAGAATTCTGCGTGGAGCTCAGCTCATCTGGCTTCTCTGAGGCAGGAACTACAGCTCAAGACAGCAGCATTCACCCATCTGTCCCCTGCCTCCAGGCCACCTTTCTAAGGCTGCAGCCTCTGCATTTGGCTTTCAGAGATAAATGAAGCCCTAGACCCTTGGACCACATTAATTAACTGATAATGACACTGTCAGTAAGAACTGATGCTCAGATTAGCATCTTTTACGACTTTTTTCTGTCCCATGTTGTCCGTCTTTCTTTTCTTTTCTTTTCTTTTTTATCACTTGCCATGCTATCTGGGACCATGAAGGGACTCGCTTGTTTTTTGTTGGGGTTGTTTCAATTAAAGATCACGAGATCAAGACGAGGCAAGTTCTGAAACCTTCGCCACTGAGGCCACTTGCCTCTGATGGACACAGGCATTCCCAATCTCCAACCCAGGCCTCTCCTGGGCCCCTTCATCCTCTATTCAATTCCCCAAAATTCCCTTTGGGTCTGAAAGCCGACTACCAACTACTCTCCGTGAATTTTATCTGTTCCCAGCCAGGGTGCAACCATCTTACTTTGTCTACATACTCCCAAGGCCTAGATGTGTTTTCTATAAACAGACTTTTTTTTTTTTAATGTATCAAATGTCAGGGGGTTGAACTACCAATATTTACACATTCAGGGGCTGCCTCTTGGTGAAACTGTAAACAGAACCCAGACCACATTACCTATATTCTTTCCTGGAAGAATAACGTCTTAAAAGGACCCTCCTTATGTTCAAAATTGCAGACCCACCAACGTTTGCAGCTTTTACGTTCTAGATCCTTTATTTTGCTTCCAGACCAAACCCAAGCTCCTGGCATTTACCAAGGGTTCTGGCTTCAGCTGCTCTCCACTCCCTGTTCTCTGCCGTAAGACATTCTAACCAGGGTCAGGCCGCCTCTGGGAAACTGACCTCCTACGGAGGGAACTGAATGAGCCTCGAATGGACTCCCAGCCTGTTTCCATATCCCTCTCTGAGTTCCTTCCCCTCTCCTAAGGCCCTGCGGCAGCCAACCTGAAAATTATTTCTCAGTGCTGTTGCCCAGGGCTCTGGGCCTCAAATCCCTGGCAGCAACGGAGTTGGACAACCCCCCAACTCTGCTCTCAATTTGCCCTGACCATATTTCCATCCCCGAATTCTGTGACCCACAGAATGCACCCAGCGGGTGAGGAGAGGGTTGTCCTTAGGACTTACTTTGCCGCCTCCCTCCGAGGACAGTGATGACCCGGTGTTCAGGACCAGCACCGTCTTCTGCACACTCTGCCCTCTGGTCCCTCTAATTGATGGCCAGAGGGCTACTGTGGACACCCTTTCCCGAACAGAACTCCATCGAATAGAACCCTCATCTACCACTCTCATCTATATATATATATATACATCAGCCTCCCCTGGGCCGCTCTGGGCAACGCTGATGGAAGATTTCAGCTCCCGCCACTGTCCAGTCCCAGCACCCCCTCACCCCACTAGCCTTCTGCGATCCTTCTGATCCTTCTCAGAGATGCTCACGCCACAGGGGCGCCCCGGCCTGGGTGCCCCCGCCGCCGCTGCCGCAGCCGGTGACTTCCAAGTGGAGATCCATTTTCCGTTATAATGCGTTCAAGATCACCGTGGCCAGCAATCTAAACATCCACGAGCCGTCCTCCCGGCCTGCCTCTTAAACTGGTGTTTAATGGTTCCCCTCCGAGAACTAAACCTGCCTTCCACAGATGCCCGCTTTTATGGGAGAGGCAGGAATGTAGAGATATATTTATATGTTTGTTCATAAAAACTGGAAAATAAGCTCTGAACACGCTGTAAAAAATATTCAGTTACTTACCAAACAGGCTAGTTAAAGCGGGGGAACACCGGTCCCCGCCACACCACCAATTCGGGGGATCGAGGTGCCTGCGCTTTGAAATCGCCCAAGGAAGTCTTCGTAGGGGCTCGTGTCCCTGCAGAATATGGGAATAGGATTTACAATCGGCTGGATGGACCTTTCCTCTGGGGGTCTCAATGGTGATCTCCAGAAAGCAGCCACCATCACGGGAGCCGCAGCAAATGGCCTGCGCCTGGGGGTGGGTGAGGGACCAGCCAGGAGTGTCCGGCCTGTGCCCGGTCCGAGCATCCGCCTTCCCCGCAGCTCCCGGGTCCGCCCGGGCTCAGCCGCTCCTTTGTGGGGCCCAGCAGCCCGCCGCCTCTGCTCTCATCCGTTGGCCTGCGGGATTTCTTGCCTCGATGACCTACCAACCACTTCGAAAAGCAGTATCTGCATACCTTTAAAAAAAAAAAGAAGAAGAAGAAGAAACGAAAAGAAAGGCAGAAAAGAAAAAAAAAAGAAAAGAAAAGAAAAAAGGAGAGATACTGTACCTGGCTGGAGATTCTTCAATATTTGAGAGCTGGGGGGGGGGGGGTATTTTAATAAGGAAGCATCTGTTAAACACTTGCATTAACCTCTGGCTGATAAAAAAGTTTTTCTAACCCTGCCCGCCCCCCCCCTCTCGTTTTAATTATCTTATGGTTATGAAGGGGCAGCCAATCCTAGGAGAGGACCTCGGCAATTAGCAAGGAGAACATCAAAAAAGTTTTATTGCGGAGAGCGCGAGGCGCCGCCCCCGCCGCCCCGGGATTGGCGTGAGGAGCCTCTGACGACATATATTAACCCGGCGGCCCTAAAGATGTGGCTGTACATGGAGATCTTGCCGGAAAGCCCGCCGACCGTCCTGACGACGGCGTCCAGCCCTGCACGGCCGCCGCCGCCGCCAACGCCGCCCGGGAGCTCCCTCCGCACCGCGCAGCCCCTCGGAGAGCCGGAGCCTCGGCCTTCCTCCCGCTCCGAGGCCACCGCGGGGCCCCGATCCTTCCCCCCAACGAAGGAGAGGGGGTCTGAGAACATGGATGCACTGAGACCTCTCTGAAAAAGCCTCCGAGGGAGCCGCCCGAGAGGAGCGAGGAGGACACGTTGCTGCCCGCAGCTAAAAATCACATTCAGGACCAACACCACCACCGTCCAAAAAAAAAAAAAAAATCTCATTAAAACAATAAGCGCCCGAGAACCCAGATCCGGCCGGCGGTGGGGGGAGGGGAAGGGGCGGGAAGGGGAGGGTCGCACGGAGGTAGCAGCTTCGCCCCGAGCGGTCGACCCCGCCGCTTCCCCTGCAGAGCCCGGCCGGCTCCTCCAGCGGCGGCGGCTCGGACTCGTCCCCGGACGCCGAGCTCAACCCCGGGGCCAGGAGCGGGGCCGCCCGGGGCGCCGGGCCCGGACACTCGGCGGGAGCAGCGTCGCGGGAGCCCGGGCGCTTGTGCATGAGCGCCGGAGGATTCGGCGTCTGTGCAGCCGCAGCAGCAGCAGCAGCAGCAGCAGCAGCAGCAGCAGCAGCAGCTCGGGAAGCCGGAGCGGGCGCGCGGGCCGTGGAGCGAGGCGGGAGCCGGCGGCGGCGGCGGCCAAGGGCGCACAGTGCCGGGACCAGCTCGCCGCGCCCCATGGGGAGCCGGCGGCCGCGGCAGCGCTGCTGAGGCGGGCCCGGCCGGCCAGGCGGGGGGCCGGGGCCCGGGCTGCAGCACCCCCCTCTGCGGCTGCGGGGCCGGCCCGGGCGCCCGGGGGGTGGGGGGTGGGGGGTGGGGGAGGCCGCCGAGCGCCGCCGAAGCGGGCGCCCGGGTCGAGGGCGCCGCGGGGCTGCGCGCACGCTGGGGCGCGTGGCGGGGCGCGGAGGGCGAGATGAGTCTGGTGGGGGGCTTCCCCCACCACCCGGTGGTGCACCATGAAGGCTACCCGTTCGCCGCCGCCGCCGCGGCCGCCGCCGCCGCCGCCGCCGCCAGCCGCTGCAGCCACGAGGAGAACCCCTACTTCCACGGCTGGCTCATCGGCCACCCCGAGATGTCGCCCCCCGACTACAGCATGGCCCTGTCCTACAGCCCGGAGTATGCCAGCGGCGCCGCCGGCCTGGACCCCTCCCATTACGGGGGGGTGCCGCCGGGCGCCGGGCCCCCGGGCCTGGGGGGGCCGCGGCCGGTGAAGCGCCGGGGCACCGCCAACCGCAAGGAGCGGCGCAGGACTCAGAGCATCAACAGCGCCTTCGCGGAGCTGCGCGAGTGCATCCCCAACGTGCCCGCCGACACCAAGCTCTCCAAGATCAAGACGCTGCGCCTGGCCACCAGCTACATCGCCTACCTCATGGACCTGCTGGCCAAGGACGACCAGAACGGCGAGGCGGAGGCCTTCAAGGCGGAGATCAAGAAGACAGATGTGAAGGAGGAGAAGAGGAAGAAGGAGCTGGTTAGTACCAGGGGGTAGCAGGAGGGCGGTGAGGGTGCGGGTTTCCGGGGAACCGGTGCCTCCTCCCGTCTCTTTCCAAACGGGCTGAGCAATGGCATCCCGCTTTCTTCGGCTGCTGCGTTCTGAGCCTCGGTTGTTTGCACGGGGCTGTGTGAAGGCCGGTTTCCCAAAGAGGCAGAGTGGGGGAGGGTGTCAGCCCGAGGAGGAGGAGGAGGAGGAGGAGGAGGAGGAGGAGGAGGAGGAGGAGAAGAAGGAGGAGGTTAAGAGGGGCGCTTGGCGCTGGTGATCTTCCCTCCAGGTTATCGTGGCTCCCCCGAGCACTTAGGACCGACCTCGCAGACTCAGGGTCGCGATTGATCTTCCGATCGCCCTGGCCCAGACACCCTCATTTCGTGTCCTTTAAGATCTTCATTTGGCCTCCAATTCGGTGCTTTCAGATGTTTTAAAAAAAAAAAAAAGTGTCCCCAAAACTCTCAATTTCAAAATTATTTCACTATTGATTCCATGTCCACCTCTTGAGAAAAGGAGGAGGCCACTGATTCTAAGAGGGTTTTATGATGGTTTCTTACTGTGCTCCGGAAGATGTCAAGGTAAACATACAATAAGTACTTTTAGCTTCAACATGCAGCCTCTTCCGCGATGAGGCTAAAACGTAATTTATCCGATGAATCCGTTGCACGGGTGTTTCTTGTTTTATTTGCACTGCCCTGCACATTGTAAAACAAATGGTAAATATCACTGTGATCATTGTTATTGTTGTGAACAGTAACGCAAAACTGTAACTGAAAATTAATTTTCTCAAGCTCCTACCAAGTGCCCATAGGGTGGTAGTGTTCGGAGCGGGTCTTTTGCCAGAAAGGGCCTGGAAAATAGTGTGTCTTCTTTGGGGCCCGTGGCGCTCTAGTTGCTGCTGCATAAAGGGGTGACCTGTAGAATAGCCCGGAACTTCAGCGGCCTGGAGGAGAGGCACAGCTGAGCCGGGGCTAGAAAACCGCCGGCCCACAGGCCCAAGCCAGCTTATGGGAACTTCTCCCCCGCTTCCCGAGAGCGCGGATCTGGGAGTGCGGTTGAAGGCAGGGAAACCATAATTTAGCCAACCCCCCCCTCCCGTTAAGGGCCCCCTGCTTCTCCATAAGCGACTTGCAAATGGGTTGCTGTTTATAAATGTGCGGATTCTGTAGTTGAGTATTGCTGGCGCTTGGAGGCCTGTGTGGTAGCTAGGGCGGCAGCTAGGGCAGCGCCGCTGGTCTTCCTAGCTCTTGTGCAGGGACTAGGACTTAAAACCATCCTACTTGCCATCTCCTCCTCGGTCTCACTGTCTCTCTGAGCCCAGGGAGCGCGGTGATGTGGAACCAGGTCTCCTGTCTCACTTTCTCTTTCCTCTTCTTTTCTCCCCCTCGCCTCCCCTCTGTCCAGAACGAAATCTTGAAAAGCACAGTGAGCAGCAACGACAAGAAAACCAAAGGCCGGACAGGCTGGCCGCAGCACGTCTGGGCCCTGGAACTCAAGCAGTGAGGAGAAGGAGGAGGAGGAGATGGAGGAGGAGGCGGAGGAGAGCGAGAGTGAGCTGGGGCCCTGGAGCCAAATGCAGACCCAGGACTCAGGGCCAGCTCTCCGTGCTCCGCTCCGAGGACTACTTGCATTTGGAATCATCCGGTTTATTTATGTGCAATTTGCCTCCCCACTCTTTGCCCCCGCTATGAGGCATCCACTCCCCACCACCCCCTCCAAAAAGATAGTGGATATTTGAAGAAAAGCATTCCAGATTTTAATATGAAGAGGATACTCCCGCGTGGTAAGGGATTCCGTCATCGTCTCGTAGATTCTGTGTGTGTGAATGTTCCCTCCTGGCTGTATAAACACCAGCGTGGCCCCCTCCCCGCCTGCCCAACCGCTTCCTGATAAAAGACAGCGGACCTTGGTGTGTATGTGAGGTGTATCTTTAATACGTGGCCTTTGGATCTAAATATTCCTGGGGATTCTAAAGCTTTATTTCAAAGCAGAAAAAAAAAAAAAAAACGGGGCCGCTAACATTTTCGTTGGGGTCGGTATCTAGTGCTGTCTCCTTTCACCCGTGGTTGTTCCCTGTTCGGAGATGTTCCCAACAGCTACTTGTTTCGTGCACTTCCATCCTCTAAAACTAAGTGGAATTTAATTAATATTGAAGGTGTAAACGTTGTAAGTATTCAATAAACCACTGTGTGTGTTTTTTTTTTTTACAAAACCCCCAATCTTTTAATAGTTGATACCTCAAGAGAGTTTTTGAAAACAAAACTGTTATATTTGTTTTCATACTATTTAAAATATTCCGAAGTAAACTAAATTATGATTGCCTCTAACTTTATTTGAAAGAGTCAGTGGTTTCGACCCATCATTAACGGGAGCATCCCTCCTCCCCAGGGCATGGAGGTTCCTTTAAGACAGGGTCCTTGCTGAAATGCTGCCAAAATACCTGGGTTCTGTCCCCCACATTCCCAGAGAACGCTGAGTAGTCTGTAGGAAGAGGATCTGGGCTGGAGAAAGGTCTGTGGTTCCCCCAGAAGGTGGGAAGGGGTCCTTGTTTTCCTGAAATCAGCCAGAAGCCATTCAGTGGGGAGGAGGAGGCTTGGGTTTTGGTGTGGGGAGCTCGTTTTCAGTGGATGAGAATCCCAGGCGTTAAAGCCTTTCACTCAAAATATAGGGCTTTCATCTAATTAAGAAAAGAGAGAGAGAAAGAGGAAAAGAGGAGGTTTTCCCTGGAATGGAGGATTGGAGGAAAGAATGTATTCTCATCTGAGCTGGCCGGGGAGAGGGAGGGCCTGGGGGGTGGGGGGAGTCTGTGATCAGGAACTTAGGTAACATCAAGTAAGAAATCTCCAGCAGCAGGACCAGGGATTTCAAAGGGGTGCGTAGTGAGGGCTAGATTTACAATGAGCTACAGGGAATTCAATATTAACTCCGCGGTATCTGCCCAGCAAGCTCAGCAAGCTGCTCCCTCCCCGGACTACCAGCCCCTTCTCCCCCTCCTCTCCTCTCCCCCACGTTGTCCGAGGTTTGGTCTCCCCAAGTCCCAGCACGACCCGGAAGGAAGTCCCTGAGGCCTCCTTTGCCCGTGGGCTTGGCTAGATCTCCAGTCTCTGCTTTAGGAACCAGAGAGACTGTCGTTCGTAAAAGAACTCGGGGCAGGCCTGGGAGGGGGGGGGGGGAGGGAGGGATTCAGGAGCGGGGGGAGGGAAGAAAGGTGAAACGTATTAAAAAGTGGTTTGTTTCATGAAATGCCACTTATATAAATCTGGTGTTAGGGAGGCTTGCCAGAGGCTTTCCATCTTGGAGCCCATCCTCCTTGAGGCAGTGGTGTTCGCACCTCGGCTCCGGGCACAGACCGCTCCCCGGATCGCCCGGCGGTTCCCACGCCCGGCCGGTGCCCGCTCGCTCGGAGCCCGCCGCCTGCAGCGGGCAATCCCGGAGAAGGGCGAGCGCTCGGCGGGTCTCCGCTGCGGGCAGCTGCCGAGGCGAGGGCGAAGGGTTAGAACAACTCGACCAAAGCGATCTGAACTTTCTCCCCTCGGGTCAGCCGGCGCTGGGCCGCCGCGGTGGGCGCGGGGCTGTGTTTACAGACACTTGCCTTTGTTTATAGCATTGGGGGTGGGGGTGGGAGGCGGATGGAGGCGCGCCCTTATTGTCTATGACTCTAGGGATCCCTGTCCGTTTGACCGAGTGGCTCCCTCCCTCTCTCCTGCTTCCTGCCGCCTTTCGCGTCTTTGCTCTCATCCCTTCAAGAGAAAGACACCAGATCCCCTCAGGATCAGGGGAAGGCGCCTACCCATGTAGTGGAGAGGAGGTGAGGTTTTCAAAACAGGAGCCAGAGAAGAGCTGCCTTCACCAGGGCATGCGTGCCTGCGCTTGGGCAGCTGGTCTACTTCGCCATCTGGGCCTCGACGCGTTTCTGCTGGTCCAACACGTCTTCTGGTTTGTGAAGCACCAGCAGAGGAGAACCAGGAGAGCCTGGCAGCACCAGCGCTCAGGGGCAGTTCCCTACTCCACAAGCTTATAAACCCCGGCTCTCCAGAAACTGGTCTTTGTCTGGCCTGGGCCAGGTGCTGCCCGCCTTCTCTCTCCTGCCTGCCTGTCTGCCGTGCCCGTTTCCTCCGGCCCAGCAGCACCAGACCCCACACCTCAACCACCTCGACATTTCTACTCTCCAGGAACCCCAAAGCCAGACATCCAGCAGAACGGGGACATCCCGGGGACCCCAAACCCTTAACCGGATGCACACCCTCACTGGCGGACACTCCCGCAGGCAAGATGCTCAGATTATCCTCCCCAACATCCCTGCCCAGGAAAGGGACCGGTGTGCCGGGCCAACGTTTCTTGAGCGCTTCCATGCTTTTCTCCTCAACACATTTCTATCTCTAACTCCTTTTCTTTTTTTTCCTTAAAAAAAAAAAGTTTCCAAGCTCCTGCCTGGTGAAACGGCTAAAAGGTCTCTCTGTTTTAATTGCTCGGATAATGTGGTTGCTGCCATTTTGTTAAAAGCAATCACTCCTGCAGCGAAATCACAAGCTCTCTAGACAGGCCGGAGCCGACAAAAATGCAGGATTTGACGTTAAAAGCTAAATGGGAAGCTGGGGCGGCGGAAGGTAAATTGATGGTAGATCTGGCTGTCAGGGTTTGGCCCCAGACCGCCACGCAGTCCCAGCGCCTGATAACCCTGGAGCACCAGCGGGGCTCTGGCCTGGCTGCTGTGTGTGTGTGTGTGTGTGTGTGTGTGTGTGTGTGTTTCTTCCTACAAACCCATTCTCAACTTTTTGAGAAGTAATTTGGAAAACATAACAGAGTGGAACCCAAACACACCCCCTGCTCCCAATCTCAGCTTTCCAGGACTTTTGCCCCCAGTGAGGACAGTGATGGCAGCTTTAATTTAAGACCTTTTTCAGGTCAAGACATGAAGGTGACAGCAAGATCACCTGGGATTCTTCTTGCCTTCTAAATTGGGGGTGAGGGAGGTTAGCTTCTCTGGGGACCAATGGGAAGTTCCAGCTTCCAAGGGGCATAGCCAGTAGGTCTGGCCTCTAGGAAGGGTGGGCCTAGGCTGCCCTCCTCAGGTGTGGCAGGACCAGGCAGCCTGGCCAACTCTACAGTAAGGTGGGTGCAGTAGTGGCCCTGGTAGCCTCCCAGGCCCTAGAAAAACAAATGTGTGAGACTTGGGGGTGGCTCAATCCCTTCCTCTCACTGTGCCTCTGTGGCTGTCCCCTTGGGGTGGTGAGGGTCGCAAAGCTGGTGTCTCACCCAGGAGTGAAGGTACCAGGAGTGTGAGTGTGTTGTGTGCACACATCTTTTGCGAGAAGGGGTGCTGAGGGTAAAAGTGAGCAAAGCCAGAGGGATCAGAGAAGGGCCTCTGAGCTGCTTCTGAGATTACCTTTGAAGTAGAGAACTAAGTCCCTTGTGGAGGATTGAGGTGTGTGTGTGTGTGTGTGTGTGTGTGTGTGTGTGTGTAGGAGACAATAAACTCAGCAAAGGACACCACAACAGCACAATAGCCTGGATGCATTTGTACTGCAGATCTGTATATTTCAGGAAACCTCTCAGTTATGCTTGTGGCTTTACGGAAGGAAACACTGTGTCTGCCGCACCTGCGGTTGGCGATTCTCTCTTCCACAGTTGCCAGGCGTCCTTCCTGCCCGCCTGCCTGTTCCACCCACCTGCCTGGATTTGGAAAAGGGACTGGTGGTGGGTCACCGGGAGATGATCTAGAAGGGAGGCTTGTGACTATACCCGTAGAAGAATGAGCCTGGGCACTGCTTGTCTTTTTTGGGTCTTTTGGCCTGGGGACCTATTGGCTCCAGGAGACTCAACTCTGGACATCCAGATCGCCCTGAGAGTAGGGGGCGCTGCAGAGTCTTCTGGACGCACAGGACTCCTGGCCTGTCGAGCCCACGATCCCTAAGAGAGAGAGAGACCCTGGAGCCATCCTCCAGGGGAAAGGGGGACAGATCATTTTTAAACTGTTTATAAAGAGGAGGAGGAGCAGGGGGGCAACTCCAGGAGAGGAAAAGAATCCCATATTTCCGGGGTCTGACCAGCCCTGAACTCGCCCATTGACCATCCAGCTGCTGTGCAAGGCGCACTTCGCTCACAGCAGCTGCCGGCAGGCCTGGTCCCTGGGCCTCTGACAGCCCGGCGGCCCCGGCAGCGTATCTGTGCGCTTCGTAGCTGCCTTCCACGCGCACAGAAGTTGGACTTTTCTCCGGGGCCTCTCGCTCCTCCCCGGCCAAGTCAGTCCCCTCCGCGGGGCACGCCCCCTCCTCTCTCCTACACACACACACACACACACACACACACACACACACACACACACACGACTCCCCCTCCTCCTCCTCCCCACGACACACACATTCTCTCCAAATTCTCCCGGCATCGGGGCCGCTTTGATGATCAGATGGTAGAACCCTGATTACAAATTTATTCCCGGCCGCTAGGTCCGTCTTTATCTCCGCTATTAGGCACATCTGGGAGTGATTAGCGCCGCGCCCGGC